GCATAAACTATCAAAGTTTTTCCGGGGCTTCGCCCCGACTCAGCAAAAACGATAACCCCTTTGTTTTTTTCACCGAAAACGATTTCCAGCCTGTCATTTGCCCACCTCGTGCCGGGCCCTGATTACAGTTTCTCTTACAATTCGGTGGCATAAAGTATTTCTCTTTTTGCCTTACGCTAGAATTCTACCGTGCTGTAAGTTCATAAATGATATTCTTACATATGACAAATCAAAAAAGTTTTTGTTGATTTTACCTTCATGGCAGCTTTTATTTCTATTTATTTATTTATTTTATTTTTCTTTCGTATTTTGGTGACAAAAAACCTAATCCGGCGAGGAAAACCTGAAATTGTAAACTAACCGTGTACCGAGACATTTGCCTCACATAGTCTGTCACTTCAGTCCCTTCAATTCGTTGGCATTGTTCAAAAGCAGTATTCTCGAAAGTTTCTCCGGCAGCTGATGAGGCTCTGAGTGAACTCACCCAACACAACCTGAACAGAAATTGATTTATTCACTCTCCTCTATAAGCAGTTTTTAGCCTTACCTTTGACATTTCACTGGCGTAGCATGAGCAAGCACTTTCTTCAGATCTTCATCGACAGTTTCCAAGTCGTAATGGACGTCCATCTAAATTGCCTCGCTAATCTCTCTGTCACTTTCTTCGACGTACGAGTTTATCTTTTTCGGTCCAACATGCTTACCAAAGTTGGATTCGAAGATGGTAAAGAATTCTTCCAATTACTGATTGCTGGTACTACCTCCATAGGACCAGTACCAGCAGTCACAATGGAAGAGGTATTGCTAGCTGTAAGAAAAACAAAAGAAAGAAGGGTACAGCAACTGGTCCAGATGACATGACATACCAAGCGAGTTTTCGAAAGTATGTGAACAATCCGGAGCCTCTTAACAGACCTTTCTCATTCAAATCATAAGGAGCAAGAGTATGCCTCGCGATTGGTATGCCAGCACAACGATTCTGGTGTGGAAGAACAAAGGAGACATAGCAGACTGCGCATCCTACCGATAAACCCACTGATGAGACATAAGCCAAAAATCTTCGAGCGAATAATTAAAACATGACTTGAGAGCTGTAACCGAATCAGTGCAGGCTCTTGAAAGGAGTGCATGCTGACGCCATCCACTCCGCTCGAATAGTGATGGAGAAATAGGAAGCAGAAAGAGTTGCACGCAGCCTTTCTAGACCATGATGATAAGGTACCCTCATGAAGTCATAGGTGCCGAAACACGTGGTGATAGAGGAGTACGTTTCGTTATAAAGTTAATCTTACGCTTCAAATCAAGTGCAAGTTGCTGCAAGGCAGTCGGAAGAGTTCCAAATTAAGGTCGAAGTACAAGGTTCAGTTCTCTTTCTCTTGCTCTTCATCATTACGAAGGCTGTGATGGAACCGCTTAGATGTAAACGTCCTCGGACACTTCTCTACGCAGATGATGTGGCTTGATAGCAAATACCAGAAAGGAGCTGCAAGACGAGGTACATTGGAAAAGCAGGCTAGAACTGTATTTCTTGAAGCTCAAAGACAGGGAGACAAAATATATGATAGTGAGGAAGCAAACTCTAAGTACCATGAGCACCGATGGTAAGGAGCTGAAGAAGATAACGTCATGCAAGAACCTAGGTCTCATCTTAGTGGAAAGAGGCCTATAAGAGGAGGTCGCAGGCAGGATGAATAAATGTGCATGAAATGAGCCCTAACAGGAGTTCCGCGCGAGAAAAAAAGTACAACACAGACTTCAGCTGTAAGGACCATTGTTTCGTCCATACAGCACTGTATGGCAGTGAGTGCTGGCCATATACGCGGAATAAGAAGCGCAAGCTCAGTTTCATGGAAACAAGGATGCTCCGATGAACCTTGGGGGTCACATTGAAGGATCACATTTGCATGACGTATACGAGCCAAAATGAAGTAGCTGCAGTTGCCCAGAAAATGGAGGAAAGGAGGCTACGATGGTATGGGCATGTGCGCAGAAAGGATGGAAGCCACATCACAGGGTTAGCGCTGGCGGTGGAGGCACCAGGCAAAAGACTCAGAGGTAGATTAAGATGAGGGATAGACACTTAAGGCAGTGTCCCGCAGATTTGGATCTGAGGAGAAACAGGGGTGGGGAGATTGCTGGTCACCCCACTAAACTTTGGGCCCTTCCCGGACATGGGATGTTATCCCTACCCCGAAAAAATCGCCCCCCAATCGGCGCGCGCTCGGACGGTTCCGTCTAACATTCCGCCCGGGACCAACAAGGCCTCTCCTGCGCCGTTGATGATAATCAGTGCAAAAATTACAGGAGGCAGGTTTTTGTGACGGGGCCTTCCAACTTTTCAGGTAAATTTTCGTCCGAGCTCCCTTTTTGGAAAGGGTGTAAACGCCCCAATAGCGGTCGTTTCACCCTATTTGAAGCTCGGATTCGAGTCCTGCATGACGTGAAGGCCTAAAATGTGCAGAAAGCTCAAAATGTCAAATCTGCCGGGACACTGCCTTTAAGGCCGACTCGCGAGAACTTGGTATAGACGAAGACCTTGCCTCAGATAGGAAAACATGGAGACATGTGACAAGAAAGCAGACCCTGCATAAGCGGGATACATGAGAGATTGGAAAAAAATAAAATAAT